TGTCTCCTGCTAAATAAGCTCTCTTTGACAAGAACTGAGTCCTGTGTCACTAACTGGCTGCATTCCTACTTCTATAACAGAAAGCAGTACACCGTATACAAAAGCAAATCATCTTCTGCTGTACTCACTGAAACCGGAGTCTCCCAAGGTGCTGTACTCTCCCCACTTCTCTTTTCTTTCTTTCTACATGACTTACCATCTTCAAATGACATTAATTCTGTCAAATATGCTGACGATCTGACTGTATCTTTGCCTATCAAATGTCAAAGCGACTGCTCTAAACTTAATGGCTTTCTGTCAAAAATCAGCCAGTGGTTCAAGGAAAATGGTCTTACCCTAAACCCCTCCAAATGCCAAACGGTCAATTTCACCTTTAGGCATAAATCCGACCTAAACAAACTGTTTGGCTCTCACGAGGTATGCAACATAGACGGCACTGAAATAGAAACTAAATCGGAAATTAAATACCTAGGTGTCATTCTATCTGCTGATCTCTCCTGGTCGTCTCATATCTTAGCAATTTCTAAGAAAATATTCCTTCTTACCTTCTACATTAAGAAGTTAAAACATTCTGGTATAACCCAACCCTTACTCCTACAATTCGTTAACCCTCGCATCCTGCCTATTATTCTCTATTGTTACCCTTAGTTTTTCCCGTGCTACTGAAGAAAGACTATAACATATTACGCGGGATGTTAAAGGTTGTCAGCAGGGTAAGCAACGTGCCACTTAACCAGCTTGTTAATATTCTGGTTGACAGGCACATGGACTCATGTCAAAAATGGGCTAAGTCCATTTTATCTAACTCACACCACCCTCTTCACTCACAACTCTCCCCTTGCATCTCATCAGGTAAAACCAGAAGCCAATATAGAAAACTATATGCTCGCACCAGCAAGTACAAAAACTCAACTATATCCTACTTAGCTCGTGTTCTGTGTGATAAAGAAAGCATTAGGCGTGACACATATAATTCATTAAATAGCCAGTAGTACAACTGGATCTCGTCTTTCCAACTCACATCATCAATGGGTACAACATTTTCTTTCTTTGTTTTCCTTTTCTCTCTCACTCTTTTTCCGTTATGTGCTGCTTTGTTTCTTTCTCTCGCTTACGCCAGTTAATAAGACAGCTCCCACTTTTCTAACACCATCAAATACTGTTCAGCTTCACCTTTGCTACTGACATGCCAATGTATTGTTTTAATAATGAACTGTGGTTTCCCCAATCTATGTGGAATTCTATTTATTGATAATGTACTAACTGGATGCAATACTGTAGTAAAAATGCTGAGAATTCCATTCTGTATCACATGTACTGTTTTGGAATAAAGCAAATTATTATTATAATCCCTGTCTTCAGCAAACTGTCAGGAATTCAGCAAAATGTTCTTATCACCCTATGAATGCTCTGCGCTAGTGAACTGTAGTCTTCTCAAAAAGTATCTTTGACAACAACAAACATTGCCACCATTCTTCAACGTTGAGCGTAAAATAACGTCTTCAGAATTTTCAGAAGAAACCACAACAAACTAGACTCAAATTTCATTCATTTTCCGGTTCAAAATTACCATATAATCTATGTATTGAGGAATTGAAATGGCGTTTCGATTCCATATCTTGAATGAATATCTTCAGTGCGACTTGAAGAAAAGAAACTGTTGTTCCTATGACATATAGCTTTGCTCCAGACATATTCAGAATGATTGAAGACGGAGAGTGTGGATATTTCTTCAAGAAGACGACATGGAACATCTATTTATCTAACGACATATAGGAAATATAGGTGAATAGAAAGAGATACTCTTGAAATAAGGGAAAAACGTCGTCGGAGAGGAGTGTATGCGTTTTGTCTCCAGTTACAATACACCTGTTGCATTCAGTCTGCATGGAAATAACGCTTTGATATAAACAGAACAGGAAATGCGACGACATCGGAAACGTGTTTACCTCCTCAGATATCACACAGCAGATGTATAGTGGGCTAAATATATCTGTGCTGTTATGAATCAAATGGTAGGTCTGTAGATTTTCTACTTAACAATATGCAGATATCAGGGAGTTCTTGTGTATCCGAGCACTTACCAACTTCTTTCAGACTTCTTCTTCCGTTAATGATTACTGATACTTCTTGTAGGTCTCATGTCTATATCTAACTGAATTTCCTTCTTCGTTACCTCTTCATCTAAAGGAGGAGCGAAGTGATTATTAAGTTATGCGTCACAGGTGAATCACATATTCGCTGTGTCATTAACGATATCAGTTTACATGAGATTGAAATCACTTCAATTTAGCGTCTAGTGAAGGGCGATGGTATACACAAGTTTCAAATTCCAGTGACCTACAAATGGCCGTACAACATGAAGGAAAGCATTACTGTTTGTCAACATCACATGAATTGTTTGTGTTCCTCAAGTTTCTTACAAGCAACCATTCCTACAAACTTACAACCAGGGATGTTGAGTAGATGAAACTTTTGTTCTAGAATGTCAGTCTTTATACAGCAGCTGAAAATCACAAGAGTGACTTCATTTTCAATCAAATAATGTTCACTCAGAAATATGAGGAGTTGTATCGAATAATTTCTATGATGTGCGTCCTCTGTTCAGCTGTAGAATGCTCGCCAACCACTCATATTGTCTAGACTTGGATTCGTACGAAAAATGAGCACCACTGGTTTTGAAAGTTCAAAGCTGAAGCTTGAAGCTCTATGTTTCACTAGGAACTTCAAGGAACAGAAAGACTTTCACAGTAATTGAACGCCAATCAAAGCTGAGAATACATGATCCTATGATACAGTCACACCAGTTTTCAATGTTTACCTCAAGTAGATCCATTCGCTTTGACGTACCTCATCATCTCACGTGCAACACGAAGATGCTCACTGACTAATCAATGATCAGGACAATCAAAAAGGCGAAGCCAACACATCGCCATCGACACTTACAACAACTGTAATCTTTAATGTCTGAAATATTAAATTTCCATCGAATGAACACTGTCATTTCTTGAAGTGTATATTACTGTAGCGTCTTTCACACTTAGGCGGTTATATAGTAACTAGCATCTATTATGAACAGACATCCTCAGAATATTTTCAATAATTTATTTGTGACGATTTCATCGACATCGATGAAAGCTTGACTAGTCGTAGGTCATTTGCTGTGGAATGTTATTGTGATTAACGGATTGATAAGCGTGTGGAACTTGTGTGCTAAGCAATTTCACTTATACTGAATGCAGTAAATAAAGACGACATTAAAGACGTTTACTCATTTATTGCTTCAACCACGATTACAATAAGAGGAATATTAACAATCAGATAGTCAGGTGATGTACAAAAGAGAGTATAGTTCACAATTTGTGCAATAATTATTAATAAAATGTCTCGTTTGACGTGTATTGTTTAAGCTTGGTGATGATTGATATGGTCAGATATAGTAGAGCTACCAATAACCAGGTAATTAGAGCCAGTCTTACTGGTAGGAAATAATTTGACAGCTTATCGTCACAAAGTTTTAAACTTTGTCCAGAAAGACACAGAGCCTATGATAAAAAGATAAAATGAAATAGAGTCACACAATGAAGTTTTATGTATGATGGATAAGATTTGTAGCTCAGGTGAATGGTTTCAATGTAGTTGTGATCTCTGAGCTCGATGGAGAAATCTAAAAGCTCACATGAAAATGAAGTGTGCGCTGAAGATGTTGCGTGGTAGAGCAATAAAGGCTTCGAAAATAAACCATCTATCTCAGAGAACAAAACTACTTCAAAAAAGTGATGGTTTTTGTCAGCATATCAGTTAGAGAAGAACTGAACACTTGTACTGTGTACTGGACAGCTGTATTGTCATAATTTGAGACTATTGGGTAGTACGCAATCACTGAGGTTCGAAGTCAGGATGTTCCGGTAACAGGGTGAGCTCACAGACCATGCAGCCACTGTGACTCAATTCAAATGCCCATAGATGCTACTAATTCATGATCGTAGCGTGACAAATAGACAATGTCATCGAAAAGTATTTTTCTCGACGCTCCCTCATGTGGACCCTACTGGTCATGACTCATCGCCAGAACTCCAGGCAACGTCGTCCTGTAGCTAGTCACCAGTGTGCACCAGAATAATTCTCAAGAGTTAGATTTCAGGAATCACATGTGCCTGAACCTCGACCACAAATTGATATCAGTTTGGTTTCCATTGTAAACCAGGGAGTACTGCACAGCTGTCTCGTTCCGATGTAAGACAGACAGGCACTTATCACCCACAGCAGCTCGAAATCATGACCTTCCGATGTTCACTTCAAGATATCACCACATCCTAAAATTGCATCTTTAAATTTGTAGTAACACATGTTTATTTGATCCTGTACAGTGCTGAATTGATGAGATTCGAATAAATTTCAGCAAGGTACATGATAAATAAACCATGTGCAGAGGAAAAATAATATCCTAAAAACATCAATATGACCAACACTTTGGTGTTTTGTAGTAGTCAGCGTCTTCTAGCAAATGCCCAGTACTCCAGATTGCTTAGCCGTTCCCACCTAACATAGAGATTACACCGTGAAAATGATTATCCTATATCTATTCAGTTTAGGTGGAACTTGTATGTGAATGAATAAATGCTTTCTATGTGAATATCACCACTAATCAATAAGCATTCATACAACGTCATGCATTTTGATAATAAATTAATGACGCTGGGAATAAATGTCTTCATATTTTCATCTTGAATAAACAAATAGTAGATTCTTCAGATGAAATAAGTTAATTTTGAATGAAATAATTTTGTAAATTTATACGAGTTGATCATGGATTGATGTCGGTTACAGAACCATTGAAAACCAGGGAGTACTTGAGAGCTGCTTAATCATAATTTTGGTGCGTACTGCTGTTCAGAACTCCCTGGTTTTGAATAGTTCTTTAACTGACATCAATTCGTGATCAACTAGTAAGAACAAATCTGATCTTCACAGGCCAGCTATTGAAAATGATTTACATGTTAACAAATTTTACAATCTTGCTTACCAAAAGTAGACCGAGACCCAAAAGTACTCCGAAAACTGTATTTGCAATGTCCTGTAAGTAGAAGAAATAATGGAAAGAGCATGGTGGATTAACGACTGATGGAACAATAGTACACACTATTTCAACATGTCAACAGGAATCGCCAAAATATTCTGGTTTGCGTTGAGTGTCAATGCACTGAATGTAGAATCGGGAATCAACAAGTATTCCTATTCATTCCCTTTCAGTAACCTAAGGTCGTTAGTTCGAAAACTATTTCTGGAGGGAGTAGTCTACATGATGATTGTTGTCACCTGTCGCCTAGTGAAAATCTAGGCTACAGCAATGGATTCTCGAGGGTGTAACTCGTTACCAACATGGTTGCACAGGTTTAATCAAGGACTATTTATACTTACAAACATATATAGTGGTCTACTATTGAGTAATAGGGGGTGACATAATTGATATAATTACTCAGAAGTGGCTTTAGAAGTGTAAATTAAAAGGACTATTTCACAATTATATCTGTAAGACATGAAACGTATTTCAAAGCATTGACATTATTTGGAAGATGAAATCACTCAATCATCAATACGATTCTTACTCGAAATTGAAGATAGTATAACACGAAAAACAAAAGCGCACTGAGAAGAAGAAATCCAGATATGATATAGTTCATAACATAGAATCCTTTCTGATTAAAACGCCGCATTTTATATCCCACTATCAGGCATATTACAGTCAGCAGTATAGTCAAGAACCATGATATCAGACTCCAGAGTCCAACATTCGATGTTGCAACAGCGAGACCACAAGATGAAGTTAATACCTGAAATATGCAAACAATATATTGAATTCAGGTGATCTTTATTAAGATGCAATCACAGATAACATATCTCGGAGAACTTGCTTGTAATTTCATATGTAGTCACGTTCAGTGAAGCGGAATTTGTAGGTAAGGCCGTAACCGTCAGATTGCGCAGATCAAACGAATTAGTGAACACCAGTTGGAGAAACAACAGACTTAACAAATTCTGAATAGTAGAGCCTACGAACCTATATGATACACTTCTTTCTTCCGGAAAAAAAAATAAACATGGCATTCTGGAGGTTGTTAAGTATTGCAGCATGTTCTCATTTCTCATTGTACATTAGATTTTTCTGATATTGTTGGAGTTCAAAATCATCTGTAAACTTCAGATGGAACTAATCACAATAATAATAATAATCTGCTTTATTCCAAAAACAGTACTAATATTGAAGCATGGAATTGTCAGCATTTGTTACAATATTTCATCTAAATTAATCAAAATATAAATAGAAGTAACCGCAGGAATTTGTCCACATTTACGGTAGGAATAAATTCAAGACTTATCAAAGTACAAAATGAGAGTAATATCTATTCTGATAATAGGAAGCTGTTCATCCTAGTACAGCCTAGCTGGGAGTTAACAGCATTGAAACAGTTAGATCGTCCGTCTACTTAACACTCACTCACCAATTTACACCGCCACTAATTTTGTTTACGTTCCTTATCAAGTATCATACATGCTGTATGCCACAATATCTTGAAAAGCATTCGCTTACGCACATTCTGCAACACTGTATCGAATAATTGAGCAACGCATCAAAAAACTAATATACGACTTCTGGTTTTGTGAACATTATTCAACATATCAAATAAATACTGCAACAGTGATCACCGTAGTCAGTAGATCACCCGCCAAACCACTGATAGAAACTCAATATTTCATTACAAATTATTACTTTTCTACGTATTTAATTCATGAACGGCGGCCAAGGAGTTGTAGAAGAAAAAGCAGATCCATATGCACACAATTTTCGCCAAAAGTGATACACTTACACTGAGCACAGCAAGCATATAGTTCAGTGGAAAGATGACCTCGAGTTTCGGAATCAAAATCAGCAGAACTGCGATGAATGCTCCAGTGAACCTGGAAAAGAATCAGCTAACTCTGTAAAAAAACAAATTTTAATGTAGGTTGAAGATGTAATGCACAGCATCTATTGACGACTTTATCAGTAAATAAACCAATATGCACTTTCGTCAGTTCATCATCTCAATGACTTGAGATAATATTTATGAACATTCACACAAAAGGAGAATCACACCAAAATTACATGAATAATGTCTAACTTTGAATAAACATATATATTTTAATCAGATTCATAGGGACTTACAGAAGAGCGATTGATGTATACTCATAGGAATAAAACAGCTTATAGAGTTTCTTTCTAAAACAAAGATGTGAGTACAAGTTGTGATTTCACATTCTTACATGTTCGCTACCAACAAGGTCATGGTCATGGTTGTTGCAATCATTATGCATAACCAGATGATGTACTTAATCGGATTGTTGAAACAAATAAGCATTCCTACCTTCACAATACATTTTCTTGCGGACATTACTCCGATGGTGGTATTCTAGAAATGAGGAGTTATCAATATGTCTGCATGCAAACCTTTAATATCTCCAAAAGATTCACTTTCACATGTAATCAGGAGAGAAAACAATTTGATTAATTGTGAAGGGTAATTTGAAGGAATTAATGAGGACGCTTCTGTCTAAGAATAAACTTACTTGAATACATTATTCCTGAAACAAATTCAGAATGTATGTAACACATTTATCTGGAGAGTGTATCCACTTTCTATCACCCTATTATTTTACGAGCGACAGTATATGTATATATATAAATGGCTACGCGTCGTAGCGTTTGTGGTTTTAGAACACACTAATCACATTTTAGAGTACCTGTCATCTACGCCAGTTTCATCATTTTGAATATCCAATCAAGAATGAATCAACATATTTGAGTACATGTTTGAATACGCGAATGAGCTGCATAGACCTTTTGTTGTGCACAGTAATTGGATCACAGGCTGGTGACATCATTCTACAAGAGTTATTTATAGAAATAGAAAGGAACTATAGTTAGTATTATTGAACTAGAAGATGAGCTGTTGTGGAATTCATGAAGACAATTTCGTTGTATTCATTCTATGCAAGAATAGAGAGAGGGAGAGAAAGCGAGAGAAATCAGATACACTTTATTATGACAGATTGTGTTTTAATCTCAGTTGATTTGTTCTCGGTTCAAAATGAGATCATGAATGTGTGATGGGAAAAAATGAAGTGGAATGTTTCAGATAATAGGCAGAGGTTCGTCATATTGACAACACGTATTTAATGACACGCATCAAATACTCCTTGATAGCGTATAGTTCATCTTTCCCAAATCGAATTACAGGTTAAGGTGCTGTGGAAACAAATTCTTGGATATTGGCTTTATTATTATTATAAAATGATTGGCTTCTGAGTGGAACAAAGGGCTTCAGCAGTACACCTTCACGTTCTTCTCTTTTCTGTTGTCATCTTGAGGTGGATCCACGATTGCACATAATATTTCAACTCCTACTGCACAAAGGATCTCCGGCATCTCATCCTCTGAATACGCACTCGTTTCTTTCCATTGGGGTTCCACTCGAACAGTGGCCTGCACTGAGCGCGGTGTCATTTAACAGCATCCTAACAGTATCGCCGTCGCATCCAACTCCATTTTCTCCCACATATTTGTTTTAGCAATCAGCTGTTAGTTGGTTTGTTCATCACCAGAGTTTCGTGTTACTAATTCTTTCTGACGAACTATTTGATCTTCAGTATGGAGCGAAGGCAGCTGTCGATAGGTATTACCTGCTAGGCTTCAAAATCTACCTTGATATTTTGAATTTTGTAGACGTGTGCTGTTCTACAAAGGCCAGAACACTTGACAAATGCAAAGGCTTTATGCGCAGATACATCCAGCACGATAGATTATTGAAATTCTCTCTCAATAACAGTAACCTTTTTGTTTTCAAATGCTTATTGGCTTCGTATTTCGTTTATTTATCAGAAGTATCAATTGCTTCGGGTGCTACCAATGAAAACAAACTTTGATCACATAGTGATTTGGAATCAAAGATATGAACGCCCTCAAGAGGTTTCTTGCATTGACACGAAGATACGAATACGAATGTGCTGCAGGGATGAAGTTTGCTTATGGTTGTTAGGGCGAAATAATACTAGGAGGCTTCCGGAATAGTTATACTTACAACTGGAGTAAAATTTACTTGATTTACTCAACAATTGGAGCAAGGTGACGAAGTAGAGAGAACAGGAAATTCTTCTTCAAATTGCTCACGAATTCGAATCCACTGACTGCATCAGCGAATAGCTCCAGTAAAGGCAAATGCAAAATTAAAGCAGAAAGTATGTTATGATACAAATATCCAACATGAAATGATAATGTTCAGCGAGTTAGTCTGGATTATCGTTTAAATCCATATGATGAAATGCTTAACGTCAATAAACGGATGAGATAGAATAAAGCAAATAATTGAGCGATATGTTTGTGTATTCATACTCAAGAAAATGTAAAGGTTTCAAGGGTGAGTGTGTTTAGTGTTGTGTGAGACAATATGAATGCTACAAAAAAGCGAATCAACAAATGGGATATGTTAGGGAGTAGTTTATAAGTGGTAAATACAAAAATTAATAATAACAACAAAATAATTACGATCTTTTCTCGTGTAAACACAAAATCACCTTTAGTGAACGATTATCGGGTGAGAGAATGAAGAGTAAGGGGACAGAAATTTTAAGTGTAATGGAGTATTCGTTGATTGTACTGTAGGCCAAAGTGATTTCACAAAGTTCTTCTGAATTCAGAGACCATGAATTTTGGTACTTACCCCTACCGCTTTAGTTACCCAGTAAAGACGTAATCGGACTCACCTAGATAGATAACTGGAAACTACAGCTCTGGTGTTTTTGAATGTCCAGCGTCTACCACGTAGGCTAGGACGCATGACTCACGCATATTGTTGCCCCTGTTCTCATCCACAAAAGTACATGTCCGTGTGCGCTCATTAATAAAGCTGTGTGAATACGGACCATGTAACTAGCTGCACAGATGTAGTTGAAGTCATAAATGTACAATGACGAGTTTGACATTTGAAATTCATCCTTCAATCCATTGCATCTACCATTATTCTAAAGAAATAGGATACAAATCTGATATAACCACAAGTGTTTTTTAATGTTGACTCAACAGAATACGGGAAACCCTATTATAATGATTACGAGACATGATAAATGTTCTGCAATAAAAACTGTTATCTATTCTTGATAATGACAGTAAATTCAGAAGATATTCAGGCGTTTTGTGTAGCTAAGATCCGAATAATCGAGAAGGTGAAGCCCTTATATACAACTAAGCCCGTAGAAGATACGACAAAATAATGTCACATCCCAGTGTAAAAAACAAACAGTTTAAATGTCCGTGTAGTCAGATGTACATAGGAAAGACTCATCGATCTCTGCAAGTGAAGGCCTCAGAGCATATTCCTAAATGGCTCCAGAAACAAATGGGATCTTCAGAATCCATTAATGGTGAGAACAGGAGATCTAGCTCCTCTATTGCGAAACATATTATAGAGACAGGACATAAAATTGACGTTGACAGATCATTTAAACCTATCCATAAAACGTGTTTGGGGCGTATCCTAATGTTTGTGGAAGCCCCAGCAATTAGAAAGTTTAACCCACCTTTATGCGTTCGGAAACAATTCGTCATCACATTAAATCTTACCTGGTAAATTTTGTTTTGATAACACAGCACATGTACTATTACTTCTGCTATTTGGTTTAGTGGTCTTCACTGTTATTTTGACCTTGAATTTGTCCTTTTAACTTGACCTAAGTCTATTTTCTCACCTCTTACATCTTTATTAATTTCATACATATTGCTATGACAAGGCCGTGTGTGCTCAGATTGTTCGAAATGTGTTGCGGAAATACATTACACGATTCAGACAAATTACATCTTATCACTCTATCCAAGTTCATAAAAAGGGAACTGATTGTTCCAAAATGTTTTTGTTGCTTGGAATCCGACAGCAAATTGAAACATCGTTTTCGAAAGATTGATGGAAGAATCTAAGGAGCTATAGTATAGAATACTTGATCGAATTCTATCATCCAGTCAACCCAGATAATGATTTTCGAACCATTGTCCGAATTAAGGCAAAATTCATTTCAAACTTCTAAATTCAACCGAAGTTCAAGGCTATCTGTGACATTGAGTGCAAAAGAGATATGTGAAATCCTTTTACTGCACTGTACTTGAAACGAAACAGGTACAAAAACATTTACATATTGTTCGTTTCGATTCAATAATAAGTGTATTCATCCCTAATTATTGATATTCTTATGAAGATTGTTGAGGGTGTCACTTTCAACTGTCGCTGCCAATAATGTGAATGAAAGAAATGGCATAACCTGCTCAGTCTTATCATTCAGCCAACAAATCAGCGTGAGTTTTCGTGAATAACTGTCACTTTCTACAACGCGGATATTTAATAGTGACACTATCACTCAGAATATTTTTATCAGTACATCCGAATGAAGATTACCACACCTTGCATTCTTCAGGGTTCAGATAAATTACTGCCAAATAGATGGCACATGATGAGAAAGAAGATCTTGAAGTCCCAAGTAGATAACAGTCATTGCCAATTCAATCAGCCATAAAACGACTGAGGTGATCGCCTAGTATTTATACCACTTCAAAGCGTCTAGAAGGTGGCATTGATTTGCATCGCCAATTACTAACTACTCTTGCTAGTCAGTAGTATATTAGCGGTTAGCTGAAATTTCAGCGTGATGGCATTCACGTCTATTTGTGAGATACTCTGATTTTATGAAAGGATAAATATGTAATATTACTAATTTCATTCTTATGTGTTTCTCTGAATTCATGCGCCAGTTCGTACCATTTGCAAATGAAAGCGACACAAAACATTCACCAACAGCAGGCGTTTAATATCTGCTGCACTGTGTGAAATGAACTGTGAGTCTATCTCAAAAGGTTCACATTGCATGATCTAATTGCATCTAGGATTACTTCATTTCACCCTCAGTTGATGCATTTCTGGCGTCTAGGATTCAGGGCTTAAGATTATTTCCAGGAAATCTTCCATTAGAAGTTGGCTTCTGAAAGAAAGCAGGGAAACTGTAAATGGGGTTGAACCCAGTGTAATTTAGTTGTCGTACAGTTCCATATAAACTCTCACAAATAAATATTAATCATTCAAAAGGCAAAAGCTCAGAGGATGTTTACTGTCACAAGAATGTGATATGACTGCAGAAAAAGTGGATTAATTAGGCTGATAGACTTATTCTGGACAGCATGTTTAGGCCATACACGGAGTACTCGCCTCAACTGACTGCATAATATTTTCTGCTTATGCAGGACCTTCAAGGGGAATGGCAATCTATAGGATATCATGTGACACAGTGCTGTCCAGTATGAAGCATAAATACACCTCTTGTGAAATGGAACTGTTTTCCTGAAGATGTTGAAGAAGATGAGTAATTCACTACTTTCCAACATCTTTTAGAGTCTGTTGAATTGGATTTTAACTCACATAACTAGAAAATATAACCTTAACAGAACCTTATTCTGAATAGATGCATTGTAATTAAGGAAAGGTTTCTGAATATATTAATTTGTCATACTAATGACTAGTCTAATAGAAAAGAAAGATTATATGGTATGGTATATCCCTTCATTGAAGTGGTGCCACCTGCTTTATCCGGT